GGGGGGGGGGGGGGCCGGCACGTACAGCCTCGCACTCGGCGATGGCCTCCGGGGAATCCGGGTTCTCGAGGAACTTGGCGAGGTCGATGACGGGCAGATCCATGGTGGCGGGGTGTGAGGTGAGGGGGACGAGGCTAAAGAAGGGCAGTTCGAGAGCGTCTGTCTGGGCCCCGGGACAGCGCGACACCCGGGAGCCCGGTCTTAAATAGAGAAAAGATGGATCGGGCTCGACTTCGCCTGCCCCTCCCCCCTCTTACGACGCGGCCGGGGGGATCCTCTCGGTCAACAGGGAGGGGGAGGGGGGGGGGGCACGCCTGTCGAATGCGCGGCATCCGCCGGGCCCGGGCTGGGTCGCACAGACGCGGCGACCTGAACAGACTCCGGGGTGCGGTCAGCAGTGGGCCCAAGGGCTGGCTGCGTGTCTCGGTCCCGTAGCCCCCTCCGACTACCAAACCACTCTTATGTTGTTGTTGTTGTTGTTGTTTTTGTATCCACACCGCCCTCGCCCCGTGTGCGACCCGGACACACGGAGGGCCGCATGAAACCAGCTCGACCGGACCCAGGGCACGCGTTCGTTGGGTAGCGAGGCCGGGCCAAGAGGATCCAACGGTCGCAACGTCGGGGTGCCCCTCGTGAGCCCCGCCCCCGCCCCCGCCCTCACCGCCCTCCCAGTCAGCGGCCTATCGAAGAAGCGGGGGGCCAAGAGGGAGGGCGGGAGCGGGGGCGTGGTTCCCCCCCCCCCCCCCCCGAAGGCCAGACCGCCGAGGAGGTTGGTACGCACACGGCTGACTCGTGCCGAATCAGTCATCTGTAGCAGGAGATGACTGGAAAATTAGACATCGCCAGCCGGCCAGGCCCGTACCGTGAAAATCCGGGCGACCAGTCCCGCGCCACATGTGAGGAAGGCAAAGAGCAAGCATGGGCTCCACCCCTTGGACGGGCAGGCCCGCGGAAGCTTGAGCCTTGGAGCAGGTCCCGCCACTCGGCCCACTGATGAGGGCCCCCATGCTCTGCTCCCCTTGGTGGGAGGATAAACGTGCATGCTGAAAAGCCGGGGTATACCCTGAGTAGTGTATTTGATCGTGTGACCTCCTCGTGTGATCATCATCATCTGAAGGGCGCTGTTGGATCGGGCGCTTAAGCCCTTGTCGTCTGGATCGTCAGTCGAGCATCCGGCAGGGTCTGACATCGTGGAATGGATGAGGCCATCGTGCGCCCTTGTTCTCGACATAGGCACGCGTGTGCCACGCCAAAAGGCGCGCCCGGCCGGCGCCAAAAGCATCCAGCCCTGGCCCCCCATACTTTGCACGGGCACATTCCCCTTCCGGGGTCTGGTGGGTGTGGGGGCCCGCCCTGATTGGAGTGGCTGGCGGCCACAAGCACTGTGCAGATCCACCTCTCCATGGAATGCGCTGGTCCACCTGGCTCGGCCCTGTGGCTGGCACCCGTGCAGGCACATCTTCGATTCCCGCATCGGCTTCGGCCGGCGTTCTGCTTGGCGTGCCCTTCGGCCACGGACCTCCTGAAGGTAGGGAGAGCGGCCCGGACACGTATCCAGAACTTCGGGAGAGGGGCCAGCAGCAAAGCCGCCCCGAGTGCTTCTATTCATACGCCCAAGTGCGGGGGAGGGAGGCCGCAAGGGCAGACATCCCAGCATGAAACCATGAAGGACACAGCACTGTACGTGAGGAGGGCATGACGATAGGCCGGGAATAGTTGAGGAGGGAGGCACAGCAGGAGAGGAGAGAGCGGGGGGGGGGGGGATGAAAAAGGCGACACCATGTCGGACGGGCAAATGGTGTGGTGTGCGCAGCAAGCCACACACACACCCAACCTTGGTAGGTCGAAAAAGGCACCCCTCCAGGCTGTATCGGCCCAGGCGCTTGGCGAGAAAAAGGTCCAGCTGGCAACATTGCCATGCTGCCTTCTCCTGCTGGCTCTGTCTCTGCTCGCATGCCGTCCCTCCTTTCCCCCCCCCCCTCTCCCTCCTTCTCCAAAAGACCGCATGAACAGAGAGGAGAGAAGCGACGAGCCCGGCCGCCGGATGGAGGGATACGATGATGATGATGATGATGATGAAAAGGCACGCCGGCGGATGTGCGCGCACACTCGAACTGGGCTGACTACTCTCTCTTTCATGGACGTATTTATTGTGTGTGTTTTTTGTTGACAACTTTTTTTTTTGGCGTTGCCCACCTCCGAGATTTGCTCTTTTCTCTCCGGGGGGGGGGGTACCCCCCCCCCCCTGGCGGGGATGTGCACAGTGCACGGGAGAGAATCGCAAGGGGGCAAAAAAGGAGAATGCCACAAGGAAGCGCGCAGGCATGCACACGAGAGGAGGGGCAACATGAGAGAAAGAGGGACACAGGAGGAAGAGAAAGGCCCGATAGGCGCCGCATCGCGGCAGAACTGAGAAGGGGCCACGCGTAAAGGGGACACTAAGAGGAAAGGGGGAAGAGTGTGTGTGTGTGTGTGTGTCTCTCCAAGGAACAGGAAAGAGTCATGTCTCAGCACGGCCGCATCCGGCAGCCCCCACAAACACTCACATTGCCCTCCCGGACGACAATGAGAACTACCCTCTCCGCCGGAGGAGGAGGATGATGGGGAGGGGGTGTACATCGCGTGCCGGTGCACGCGCGCATGGGAGCAGGCGGCGGCAAAGAGGAGGGCCAACACAAACGCACACGTACAAAGTGACTTGCGTGACGCGTGCGTTTGTGCTTGTATGTGGGTGTGGGCGTGGGTGTGTGCACGCGCACGCGAGCGCCTCATACATTTACCCTTAGTTCAGCTGGAGCAGGAAGGCAGCCAGGGCGATGGCGGCCATGACACCGTAGCTGGCACTCTTGAAGATGCTGTTGGCGTCGTTGCACAGCAGCTCGTTGGCGATGTTGGCAGCGTAAGAGTCGGGGTGAGACTCAACGCACTGGGCCACGTAGGCCTCCAGGACCTCACGGCAGGCCTCCTCGCTGGTAGAGGTGCAGGTGTAGTGGGCGTTGGTGGCAGAAGCGCACTTGGCACCGCAGTCACCCTGAGTGGAGTGGGAGTTCTCGGCACAGTAGGCCTGGAGCTCGTCCAGAGTGACAGGGTAGGCACCATCGCAAAGGTTGGGGGAGCCCGGGGCCGGGAAGTCCAGGGGACCGGAACCAGAGCCAGAGGAGCTGGGGGCGGAGCCAGAGGAGCTGGGAGCAGAACCAGAGGAGCTGGGGGCGGAGCCGGAGTGGCTAGGGGCGGAGCCAGAAGAGCTAGGGGCGGAGCCGGAGTGGCTAGGGGCGGAGCCAGAAGAGCTGGGGGCGGAGCCAGAAGAGCTGGGGGCGGAGCCCGAGGAGCTGGGGGCGGAGCCCGAGGAGCTGGGGGCAGAGCCCGAGGAGCTGGGGGCAGAGCCAGAGGAGCTGGGGGCAGAGCCAGAGGAGCTGGGGGCAGAGCCAGAGGAGCTGGGAGCAGAGCCAGAGGAGCTGGGAGCAGAGCCAGAAGAGCTGGGGGCAGAGCCAGAAGAGCTGGGGGCAGAGCCGGAGCCAGGGGTGGAGCCGGAGCCGGAGCCAGGAGTGGAACCAGAGCCAGGAGTGGAGCCGGAGTCGGAGCCAGGAGTGGAACCAGAGCCAGGAGTGGAGCCGGAGCCGGGAGTGGAGCCAGAGCCCGGAGCGGAGCCAGAGCCAGGGGCAGAGCCGGAGCCAGGGGCGGAACCGGAGCCAGGGGCGGAACCGGAGCCAGGGGCGGAACCGGAGCCAGGAGCGGAGCCAGAGCCCGGAGCGGAGCCAGAGCCCGGAGTGGAGCCAGAGCCCGGAGTGGAGCCAGAGCCCGGAGTGGAGCCAGAGCCCGGAGTGGAACCGGAACCAGGGGCGGAGCCGGAGCCAGAGGTGGGGATGGAGCCAGAGCCGGCGCTGTTGCCACACAGGTACTCAATGTTACGGGTGTAGTAGTTGTTCACCTCATGGCTCTCGCTGCACTGCTCCCAGTGCTTTTGGACGAGGGAGTTGCAAGACTCGGCAGAGAAGCAAGTGTGGTAGTTGCCGGTGGCCACGGCGCAGGGGCCAGTGCAGAGAGAGTCCTCAGTCTCGAAGCACATCTCGCGGTAGTTCTGCTCAACATGAGGGCCGCACTCGTTGGCCGAAACAACGGCGGCGGCAGCCACTGTGAACGTGGGACATGCAAGCAGGACGGATGGTGAATGGTGGGGAGAGAGGGAGAGCATGGAAGGGAAGTTGTTAGGACCCTGTCGTGAATAGTGGCAAGACGTCGGTGCCCACCCGATGGGCAGCGGCGAAAGGGAGGGGAGAGGGGGGGGGGGGG